GGGGGTGGGGGGGGGTGGGCTGACGTCCCTCAAAATGAGTCTCGGCTTGCCGGTTTTTTAATGCTGCCTCTTAATGAACATAATCGCCCGGTGACAGTAGTGACAAGAAAATAAAAACATCTAAAAAGGAGATGGGGGGGGGGATAGTAAGCGCGCACCTCCCTTACCCAGCGCACCCCCCGCCCCCTCCCTCAGGTTGTCGCCGGCGCTCAATTATTTCCTTGTCAAGTGGCGGTGTTTTTAATGAGGCCCTGTGGGACTGACGTCTGTCAGTCAGCCCTGACTTTTTGACACCATTACAACTTCAAATAGAAGCCGCCGCCGCCCGCCACGCTGCCTTCCACCCTCTCGTCTGACAGGCTGGCGGGGGAGGTGAGGGAGGGAGGGAGACAAGGAGGGAGGGGGTAGGAAAGGTGCCAGGAGAGGAGGGAGACGGAGGAAAAACGCAAGAGCGTGCAGGTAGGCTGAACACACGCACGCATCACTGGTCATTAACCGGCCTACACCCCCCACCCCCACCCCCCCTCCGTGCTTCCTGCATCACTTCCCGTTCCTGTTTCATGACAACATTCGATGAGTCGCCACCCCCCCACCCAGCGTGGGACGGGCCGCTATTTTGTCAATTGTTAATGGGAGACTTTGAAGCAGATGACGGTCGGTTTGTGATGCTACTACCCCCCCCACACACATTACAGTGGGGTCGGGGGGTAAAAAAAATTACAAATCCGCCAAGACGGCAGGGACGAGCACCATGTTTCTCGCCTGGGCGCCGGGGGTAAATCCAGTTGGTTTGGAAAATGGGCGCAAATAAGAATGTCGACCTTGCTTCTCTCTTTGCTGTGAGATCAATTGAGAGGCCTGCGGTCGGGGCAGGGCACAAGTTGCATCCGGCGCACCACAACTGCTCCTTTATGTTTGGATTGTAAATGACCTTGCAGACGCAGTAACAGGTCGACACTCCTTCCCCGGCCATCAGGTTGTACTTGATCCGTCTCCTTTGCCTGCACAAATGAATTTAATTAACTGTCATTATCCTTAAAAGTTGTTGTCCCGTCTCAACCTCGAACGGGCTGGGAGGGGAAAAAAAAAAAGGTTTTGGTCGGGCTGTCTTTTGTGTGAATGAGCCAATCAATCGCTAGCCTGCGAGCTAACATGAGCGCTGTTGCCGGCGTCAAAGGAGCACGTCTGCGTCATCGAGTCGAATCGTTCGTCAGACCGTTAGCCGGTCGAATTTCAAACGTACCTGTTGAAATTGTATTCGATATTATGTTACGGCCAATGTTAGCCCTCCCTTCCGAGCGGTTTAGCTCGCGTGACATCTTTTTTCGACTGACGCTTTCACACGTTCACGCGACAGTGGCAGAGAAAAAGGCTGATTTGCGGTGATTTTGTAATCCCGCAACAATCGGCACGATTCCATGCCATGATTTCTTTTGATTTGAATTGATGATGATGATGATGATGATGATGATGCCATGGGCCCACCCCTCCTTGAGTGAGAATGGGATTCATCATTTCAGGCTCAAGTCGCTCAAGGCGCATTTTGGCAGATTTTCCTGTCGGATTTGCACAAAATGGCTACTTTGCACCCCCAAACAAAAAAATAGCCAGAGTTAGCTTGCCAAATAGTGAGCCCTGTAAATAACTGTTTAAATGGCTCAAATAGAATTTGTAACCTGTTAAAAAAAAAAATAACCTCCAAGAAAATACAGTTTACAGACGCCTTTATAAATAAATAGCAGAATCACTTTCATAAACATCTCCAAGCTATACATGAAGTCCATTTCGACGTTAGTACACAGTGTAGGAAGTTGAGTCGAGCAGAGAAGAATGAGAGGGGAACGCGTCTGTACCATACATTGAAATGAAACGAATCAGTGACGTGAGATCACCATATCTGACTAACAACCCGTCATTGATCTCCCGGTTCATTTTAAAAATGGGGCGCGAGGACGGCGATCTGAAATAAGTTCCCGCAGATCCCACTTTGTCCTCCTCTTCCCGTGTGTGCAAATGTGCACAACGAAAGGGGCTGAGATCAACACTATGAATCGAGTTCTGTCCCTGGAGAAGGACGCTGGAGCATGACAGAGGAGAAAAGACAACAAAACACAAGACGAGGACGAGGAGGAGAAGGAGGAGGAGGAGGAGGGTTACAAAAAAAAAAAAACAGCCGTTGCGCAAGACGAGGACGAGGAGGAGAAGGAGGAGGAGGGTTACAAAAAAAAAAAAATCCTTGTCAGCCGTTGGAAAAGCTTGATTCATGGTGACCATTTGTCCTAATTACAGTCCAACAACGCTTTTTGTCGCTATTAATCATGTGTGTGTTTGTGTGCGTGTGTGTGTGTGTGTGTGTGTGTGTGTGTGTGTGTGTTTGGAAGATCAGCGGCCCCGCAGATTGAAATAGATGGCCAGGATGATGGTGAGGACGATGAAGGCTCCCAGGACGAAGACCAGCACGCGATTCTGGATGATCCTGCAAACAGAGACCAAAAAAAAAAAAAAAAAAAAAAGTGGGACCTCATTTAGCATATCATGCACGAGTGGGCAAACATGCAAAACGTTTCTGTGTCATAATAAATCATTGTGCAAAAAAAGTGACAACTTGAAGCAAGCACGCTAGACCTCTTTTTTTGGCCTTTGGAGGTCATACCGGAGCCGTAACAGAGACGGGACACCGACAGCTCCGTGTAACACCCACGCAGGCCGGGAGAGGAGTGTGAAGTTTAACACCCGACAGTTGAGACTCACTTCTGCCGCGCCGCAAGTCAGCAATTTTAGACGTCGCGCGCACCCTATCTTTCTCTGTGTCAAAGTTATCCAAGGTTCTTTTTGGTTCCAGCTGTGTGATCTCGCGGTGTGAATAAGTGCCCGCCAAAGGGTTAAAAGGCGCGTGTGAGGTCAAAAAATAACAGTGTGAAACCTTGTAACAAACAAAAGTTACATGCCAGCGCAGAGGTGCGGCCCGAAAAGTTTATTTGCGAGCGCGGAGAAAAAAAAAAAGTCTCTCACTAGTTTGCTGGCAGTCATAATAGCAAACTGACGACGGAATTTACCATCAAAACATTTTGACCAGGCCTGACTTTGGAGGAGGACGGAGGATGGAGAGGGGAGGGGGGGCGCAAGGGTGCGTTCGCCTGGTAAAATGTCCACAAGATAGATCGAGCGCTGAAGCATTGGTGCCCCCCCCCCCCCAAAAAAAAATTCTCCACACTGGCTGCCGCTGACAAATGAGAGAATTATCACATTTGCTGACATGTGGAGGAGAGGGCGAGGTTGGGGAGGTGCGCGCTGTCCACTTCTCTAAGCGGGAGATGAATAGCCACCCCAGTGGTGGTCATTTATCACCGGGGGTGCTCAGTCACCTCGGCCCAGCCGGCTGCCCACCATCTTGTGCTTACGTCTTTATTTCTAAACGCGCTCATTACTGGAAGCTGTGCATCGGTTCAAAAGTGCTGGCGTTGACGGTGGTGCGCCAGCTGGGGGAGGAGACGCCGCGGCGGTGTGTTTAGCCAAGCCCCGTCTCACCGCTATTAATTGACATGCATTATTTACTGTCATTATTTATCCCGGCCAAATATCCCAGAGGAAGGAGGGAGGGGGTGCGCATCACAGTGTGAGTGTGTGTTAATGCTAATTTTGCACATGAGGAACTGAGGGGAGGGGAGGGGCTGGCAGAAAAGCCTGCTAGCTTTAGCACGGGTGCTAACAGAGGGAGGCAAGGGGGCGACCAATCCAAGGCAGTTATTGGATGGTCTCTGACTTCAAATGGGGAGAGTTGGATGCTCGTGGCTTTTTTTTTTTCCATCTTTTCTCATGCTCGCAACACCCACTCCTGCCGACCGTACCACAACAAATACTCATACAATCTCTGCTCGAGCATCAGGTGCCTAAACTTGTCATCCATCCAAAATGTTGCCATTTCACTCCCTCATCATCAACGTGACCCGCCGGGATTCATCACCTCATCTGTATCTTCTCTTCAAAAGCTGTGCTGACCCTCTTCCATGCCTCGCCATTGGAAAATGTACTCGGCGGAGATATTGGCGGGTGGCAGGAAAAGCCTTGGATTCCACTGAAAGTAAGCCTCCATGGCAATCCAAGAGTTCACACACACACACACACACACACACACACACACACACACACACACACACACACACACACACACACACACACACACACACACACACACACACACGCCTCCGTCCCCCTCCTGTCAAAGCTGCAGGACGGATGTGGTTTGATAAGTTGTGTTCCGTCTCGCCACGTGTCAGGACAGGATCAACGAGTCGCGTGTTCTTCACACTTGAACTTCTCCTGGTTCCCCCCCCCCCACACCCCCCCCTTCTCTTTCTTCCTCGCGTACAAGCTGAAGCTGAAGCAGAAGACACTTGGGTGCGTGTTAAGGGGCCACCGAACCTTGTCACGCTCACCCAAAACACGCATCCGTGTCATTTTGCATCCCGGCGTGGGGAGCGCATCGCAACATTTGTGCCGAGCTGAACCTTGGCGGACTGTTCGCTCGCATTTGACAAAAAAAAAAAAAACAAAACAAAACTATGTGAGTCTTTCACCCTGAACTTTCATCACTTTTTCTTTACTTTGCTTTTAAATGTCTTCAACTCTTTTGGCTGTGAATGCTTTTAAATGTTCTACTTTTAATTGTGAAGCACATTGAGCTACCTTGTGTATGAAATGCGAAATAGAAATAAAGCTGCCATGCCTTGGCTTCATTTTGTTTTACCAACGCACCGGATGGAGGGTTGGAGTCACGCTTACGGTGCAACAGGTGAACCGAAAAACGGGCCGATGACTGCCAACCCGCATTGGTCGCTCTACAGACTGACGATGCGTGTTCAGTCAACAGCTTTGGGGGTGAGACAAAAAAAAAAAAAAGACTAGAGACAAAGCTCAAAAGAAAAAGGACGGTGACGGACAGAACAGTGGAGAGAGAGAGAGAGAGAGAGAGAGAGAGAGAGAGAGAGAGAGAGAGAGGGGGGGAGCAGCGAGCGGCGGGGGGGGGGGACGCTGTTGTGTTTGTGTGTGAGAGAGAGAGGGGGGGAGAGAGAGAGAGAGAGAGAGAGAGAGAGAGAGAGAGAGGCCCCTCGGAGACCACATGAAAATAATGAGGACTTTTCTGTCAGGAAAGATTTACAAAATCGTACCAGTGTTATTAAAATTTAAAATCTCCCGTTTTTCCTCCTCCTCCTTCTTCTTCTTCTTCTTCTTCTTCTTTTTGCTCCCTTCTATCCTCTTCTTTTTTGCCTCCCTCCCTCCCTCCGCAGCCTTATTAGCTGTAATGAGCGGCAGGGTACACCTAACCGTGCGCGTGTGTGCGCGTGTGTGTCGGGGCGCGGGTCCGACCTAGATGCCGCTCTCGTATCTTGGTACGCCGGCACCTTGATTGGCATTTGGAATTTATTCCGCGAGAGCGCTCGGAACTCACGCGTGGCCACTCGCATCTCAAATCGACGTCGCCCATTGCGACGACGAGAAGGAGCCGAGTGGTCTGGCAGCGTGTCAAAAAAAAGAATTTGGGAAGCTGATGTCACCGTTGTCGTTTGCTCAAGGCTTTTGACTGGACTCCTGTGATCCGCCATATTGTGACACAGGCAAACTGTTTTGTTTACCGGTAAAAAAACGGTGAAAACTGCTCGACACGGGCCCATTGCAAAGGGCTAGGCCCCACCCACTCAGTGGGCAAAAAAAAAAAAAAAGCAGCCCCCAACATGTCGGCTAAGAACAAAGTTAGCTGCAGAGTTTCATCTCCCAGGGCCTCCTCCTCGGCACCAGAAGCCCGATAAAATAAAAATCAATGGCTGTCTGAGCTGCTCTGACTCTGCCCGCCAAGAGCCTGGGAAGCTGCGGCGGCTGGCGAACGGGCCAGGAAGAGAGCGGGAGAGAGGGAGGAGAGTGGGGGAGGAAAGGGAGGGAAAGAAAGATCAATGCGCTCACAAATGGTTTGAGTGACGGACACGGCGGAGGGGAGGCTCCGGACCAAAGCGTCCACTTGTTAGCAAAATCCCCAAAACAAATAAATGCTTCCTTGTGCTCGAGACGCACGCGGATACCCCCCCAAAAAAAATTCCTTTCGTACAACAAAAAAATATTTTTCGGGCATCATTTTCTTTGATTTTTATGGATTTATTTTAAAACAAATCAACCTATTTGTTGTTCACAGGATTCTATATATTTACATACACTTTAAGAATTATTATAATTTTTTTTTTTTTTTTTGCGAATAATTTCAAAGAAAACGAATATTCGGCTGACTTGAAACATGTTCCGCACTCCGCGTCGACGCAAGTTGACCCGAGCTGCCCTCCCGCCGCCACGTTTACGTTCCGCCTGTTGCTCTCGAGGGGGCCGTTCAAGATAAACGATTTGACTTATTTGTTGCTTCTTTTTTTGAATGTTTTTTTTTTTTCCCCCGGAAGCCCCCTTTTGAGCAAAGCAGCTGCCCAAGTGCGGCGCCCGCCCGTCCGTCCGTTCGCCGCTTAATTGCAAGCTGTTTACGCTAATGAATTATTGAAAGATCATGGCTTAATTCCCCGCAGATGGGAGAGGGTGCGCAGAGAGGCCGCCTCGCACCTTTGACGCTCTCTCCGCTTGCGTGCGCGCGAGCCGTGGCGGCTCGTATTTAGTCCCAAAGTGAGGCGTGCCTTCTAGAGGGCGCAGGAGAGGAAAAGTGGAATGTCGTGATTGGGTCACCGTATCTGTGGAGAATCTGAAGGGGGTGCATTCAGAAAAGATTTGTTTTTAATCTTTACCTGCTATGATTGCTTTGGACCGATTCCCGTTCTTCATTTTTGTTGTTGTTTTTTTTTCCCCAATGGCAATTATAAAATTATTTGTGGATTTTCGCTAACCGCAATCCGCCGATAGCGCGGGTCTACTGGATATTTTTTTCTAAAAAAAAAAAGCATTGATCTTCAGAGCTGCCGCTTTTATTTCTTTTTTTTCCAACCAATGTTGACGACGCGTCGGGTCCAAAGTGATCGTTTTGAAGCTCGTTTCCATCGCGGCGAAAGCGTCGAGGCGTTTTGTTGCAAATGACATTTGGATCGGATCCACCACATCAATGAGCAACAGGTTTTTATTTTGCGGGCGAGCTTGCTTGCATCAAGGTTTTCCTTGAGGGTTCCCCCAATTCGCCCCACCCTCCCCCCTGCGCTCAGTGGGAGCCGTGAAGGCAGGAGAACGGCGCGGAGGCTGTACAGGTTCATCCATTTTTAATTCACACGGCTAACAAGGCTGGCTGGCTTCGACTGGGACCTCCTTCTCTCCCGGGCCGCAAGCAGCCAGCCAGCGAGCAAGTATAGACTCCATGTGAAACGGAAACAGAGAATGAGAGAGAGAGAGAGAGATGAAGAGGACAAAGAATGACGCCAAGGAGGAAGAGAAAGCAGATACGCTGCAACCGGCACTGGAATTTTTCCTGGGTTTTTTTTGTTTTTTTTAGCCGGCAGCAAT